GGACAGTTCTGTAGGCTGATAACGTTGTGGGTCCTTGTTTTAGGATAAAAGTCTCTCACACTGTGTTTTTCTCACACCACCACATCAACAATCATCAACACAGAAGATGACTTCTATAACCAAATATGTGTAGGTTTTTTCTCATACACCAAGCAGTAGACACCAGCTGGATGTAGTCTTGATTAAATTCCATCTACCTGGAGATAGCTTCAGACCCCACAGGTTTAAGACTCAGGTCCCAAGACTGACTCCACACTCCACCACCTCCCAGATAGCAATTGTAGGTCCAGGACTCTAGAACTTCTGACCAACTGGTTTCAAGGGATTCCCATGACCCCCTCCCTGGGTTCAATTAATTTGCTGGTGCTGCTCACAGAATGCAGAGAAACATTTATTATGTTTACCAATTTATGATAAAGGATACTGAAAGCATACAGATGAAGAGATGTATAGGGCAAGGTATGGGGGAAGGGGCGCAGAGCTTCTGTACCCTATCTGGGCATACCAACCTCCAGGAACCTCCATGTGTTCAGCAATCTGAAAGCTCTCTGGACCCAGTCCTCTTGGGTTTTCATGGAAACTTCATGACGTCAGTATTCCTTCCCCCATGGTATAGGGCAGAACCCTCTCTGGGAAAGGTCTTAAGAGTCACAATCCCAGGAAAAGTGAGGATCAATGAGAGGCCCAAACTTCACCTGTATGATAACCACTTATGTACCTAATCCTGAATTGTACCCCGCATCTTTTTTTTCTTTGAGTTGGAGTCTTACTCTGTCACCCAGACTGGAGTGCAGTGGCCACTCCCGGCCACCACAGCCTCAACCTGTTGGGCTCCAGCGATCCTTCCGCCTCAGCCTTCCAAGTAACTGGAACTACAGGCACATGTCACCACGCCCGGCTAATTTTTTGATTTATTGTAGAGATGAGGTCTCGCCTGCCCAGGCGGGTCTCGAACCTGCGGGCTCAGGCAATCCACTCACCTCAGCCTCCCAAAGGCGCGGGATCACAGGCTGAGCCACCGAACCCGGCTTACATCTTTAAAATAATAATAATAAAAAAAGATCCACAATCATAAAGGTGGAAAAGATTAGAGTCCTGCCTTGGGACAGATGAAAGGAGAGCAGGAAAAGATCAGAAAGATTCCGTTTCCTGAGGCTTAACACACTCAACATTGTAACAAAGACTGCAACAAGGGTTATGTGGACAAAACTTATGTATAAAACACACCACAGTTCTTCAACACAACTCAACTCCAGCCAGGTCACTCTACAGTGAATTATCACAGTTTACAACCTCCACTCATTCATATAAAGCTTTTAATTGACTTACATGTCTTCTCTCCAAGTTAAGTTTTGAGTATTTAAGGGTATGATGCTTTGTATATAAGATATCACTAAATAAAATGTTGCATGTATGAAAAACATGTAAAATTAGAGAAAGTACATTGAGAGCAGGATTATCCACTTTTAACATAATAGTTATAATAGTAAGAAAAATGGAATGAGACCTTCCTGAGGACCCTCAACCTTCCAGAATGCCTTTAGAAGCAGGCTGGGATAGGAGTAGCCCTGAGTCATAAATGATGGTTGTGCATCACTGCTTTGACTGCCTGACCTACTGCCTGGTTCTCAGATCATGGACAACTGAGCTATTCTTTATGTATGGATTTGGTGTAACTTGTTTGAAGCTAAGATTAAATTAACTTTCTGGCAGCCATTTTAAGAATGGCCTTTTTGCTCATGACTTCTGGTTCATTGTGGATTCAAAAACAGAGCTGAGGCAGGACTACCATACAGACTTATAAGTTAGGGTCAGACTTACTGGGAACAAGGCAACCAGCCCATGCCTTGGGAGGACACTCAGTGTTCTTACTGGCATGGAGGAGGAAGGAGCTTCAACCTAATTGTTTGTAATGTTATTTATTAGCTTAGAGGAACTGGCGCCTGCATTATTCAGGCTTCTGACTATTTCTGCTCTTTATTTGGATCTTTTTTTTTTTTCAGGTTGATACCTTGGTACCTTTCCAAAGCACTCTTTCTAGTCTTCCCTTATTATTCTCTTCAGGTGAATTTGCATCCTCAGTCCTTCACTTACCTCTAGATCCGTGCATTTCTTTCTTTTTTGCCTCCCATAGTCTGTCAGCTAAGCCTGAATAAGCTTATTTGAAAGGAGTGATTGTGGTACATCCATACAAGGGCCTAGTATTCATCAACAGAAAGGAAGGAACTACTGATACATGCAACAACTTGGATGACCCTCAAGGGTGTTTTGCTGCATGAAGAAAGATGACCTCAAAAGGTCATATACTTTATGATTCCATTTCTATAGCATTTTAAAGGTAACATAATTATGATAAAGGAGAAAAAAAAAACTTGTGGTTGCTGGGGGGAACATGACCATAAAGGGGCAGTGCAAGGATATCTCTGTGGTAAAATAATTTTGTATTTTGAATGTAGTCATTACATGAATCTATACACAAGCTACATGTACTTTATAACAATGTCAATCTGGTTTTGGTGAAGGGTGCATGGAATCTTTCTGTACTATCTTTGCAGCTTCTTGTGAATTTCTAATTGTTTCAAAGTAAAATGTTTGATTTTCTTACTTAAAGAGAGGAATTAACTGTTGATACACACAGTAATGTAGATGAATCCCAAAATAACTATGCTGAATGAAAGAAGCCAGTCAAAAAAGAGTAAAAAGAACAAAGTAGATGAATTGAACTACATCAAAAGTAAAAACTATGCTACAAGTTATAATACCAAGAAAGTGAAAAGACAACCCATGTGATGTGAGAAAGCATTTGCAAATCATATATCTGATAAGAGATTTATATCTAGAATATATAAAAGACTTTTATGACTCAGTAATAAAATGACAAACTACCCAAATGAAAAGTGGGCAAATATTTGAATGGCCATTTCCAAATAAGATATACAAATGACTAATAAGCACACAAAAAGATGCTGAACATCATTAGCCATAATAGGAATGCAAGGAATGCAAATAGAACAGCAATGAGATGGTGGCGACAATCAAAGAGACATAGTAAGTGTTGATGCAGATATGGAGACACTGGAACCCTCATACACTGCTGGTGGGGATGTAAAATGGTGCAGCTACTTTGGAAAAGAGTTTGGCAGTTTCTCAAACATCTTAAATATAGTTACCATATGGCCCAGTGATTTCACTCCCAGTGATATACCCCAAATAATTGAAAATATGTTCATACAAAAACTTGAACATGAGTATTTACTCTTAATAGCCAAAAAGCAGAAACAACCCAAATGCTCATGACTTAAAGAGTGAATAAATAAAATGTGGACTATTATCCATATATTGGAGTATTATTCAACAATAAAAAGGAATAAAATACTGATATATGCCACAATATGGGTGAACCTTGAAAACACTGTGATCTGTGAAAGAAGCTAGTCATAGAAATTCATGTATGATATGATTTTAATTTACATGCAAATTTATAGAGCAGAAAGTAGACTAGCAATTGCCTAGGGAAAGGGATTGGGGGAAAATTGAAAATGGCCAGTGATAAGTATTAGGCTTGTTTTGGGAAGGGATGAAAATATTCTAAACTTAGATTGTGACAATGGTTATACAACTCTGTAAGAATCCTTAAAAACATTGAATTTTACATTTCAAACAGATGCATTTTATGATATATGAATTATATCTTAATAAAGATGTTGGAGGGATTATAAAGGGACATGACAAAATTTGGGGGGGAATGATGGATCTGTTCACTATTTTTTATTGTGGTGATGGTTTTATTGGTATATACATATGTCAAAACGTAGCAAATTTTATACTTTAAACATGTGCAGTTATTGTATGTCAATAAGTCATTTAAAAGGTCAGAGCAAAAATGTGTGAAATTCACTAATTTTACAAACATTTATAAGCACTGGTATAGTGTTAGATCCTAGGGGGAAAAAAATGGCAAGGAAAAGATAGGTCTGGCCTTCAAACAACTCATACTCTGTTAGAGAACAGGCAAAGAAAGAAGAATATGATTGCAAAATAGTGTAATATCAGTTCTATAGAAATATGCCTGATGAGTCATGGTCACCCTCATGGTGACTGATCTAGGGTAGGGAGTGTTGGGAAAGGCTTCCTGGAAGATGTGGCTCTTGAGCTCAGCATTTAAGGGCAAATAGGAGTTAGAGAAAGTAAGGTTTTGTGATGGCAGAATGGTCCTTCTTCAGGATGCTAATATAGGGAAAGCAGTAAAAGAACATAGTACATACTTTTGAGGTTTCAAAGGGACCTGATTTTAATCTCACCATATCAAAACTATGTTTTTCCACCAGGAGTCACATCACAGTGAAGCAGATTGCTGTATTAACAATATGTGTAAAACAAGGATATAACATACTTCATTGCCCTCTGCAGACTTGCTGTTATTTAATTATTTGTGATTGTGTATTCAAAGTCTGTCCTTTTTGCTCTGTTGTTTGCTCTGTGAGAACCAGGTCTGAGTGTATTATTTACCATTGTGTCCTCAACAGGTAGCATAGTAGTTGGCAGATAACAGAGCTTAATAAATAAAAATCATTAGCTGATGGGTTTAAACTGGTATGGAGCACATAGGCACACAAGTGACTAGTGGGTGACCTGAGGAATGGCTCAAACTTTTTGTGACAAAAAGTATACAGTGAAATAATACAACTGTCCCCCCGCCCTCCACTACTCTCTGCTACTTGTGTCCTAGCTCTGACCCTGGCTTAGCCAGCTCTCATTTCACCCTAGCTCTGATTCCCACATGTTTGTCCTAGTGGTCTGGAGTTAGGAGACTCATTGTGTCTACTCCCTAAACTAGCTTCAGGTGTGAGTTCTCCCGAGAAGGGTCAGGACAGTCTGCATTGGAGAGAGGCAGCTCTGTCCATTGGCCTTCTCTGAGCAAGTTGTATGTCCTGGGACCCTGGCGCAGTGACCACTCATGTGTTGTTTCTTCTTTTCCTCCTCCTCCTCCTCAACTCTAGCACTTCTCTATGCCACCATCTTTGGGAATGTGACGACCATCTTTCAGCAGATGTATGCCAACACTAACAGGTACCATGAGATGCTCAACAGTGTGCGAGACTTTCTGAAGCTCTACCAGGTGCCAAAAGGATTGAGTGAGCGAGTCATGGATTATATCGTGTCCACTTGGTCCATGTCCAGAGGCATTGACACAGAGAAGGTAAGGAGAGTGAGGGACTTGGGGAAACCATTTGTCTCTTGACTTTCACTGGGGGGTGTTGTGGCTCTTCTGGGACAGTGGTTCTCAAACCTGACTGTGCTCAGAATTCACTGGGTAGTTTGGGATTCTAGGTCCTAACTCCAGAGGTTTGAATTGCTGCTAGATCAGCCTTACTCTAAAACTAGCTATTAAGAGTCAGTATTTAAGAAGTTGGAAAGGCAAGGTGTGTCTCCCAGAGAAGAGAGGAACTGGAAGTCTAACTGATCAGGGTAGAGTTTCCTAAACTTGGACTTTGATAATAATCAGGCCACGACTAGAGTGGGGTGATCAGCATTGCTGATTTGCCTTTTGCTCCCAGGCTTTAAGATGGCACAGCACTATTACTGATTTTGTCTTCATTCAAACTTTTGGTATTTTATTCATCATGGGTTTTTTTTCATGTGAACTTCGATTTTTTAAAAACAAATATTACATAACTGTGATTTATCTTGATTACTGAGTTCTTTTGCATATATTTAAATTACGTGCTCAACGCTATTGCCTCACTCATCTCACCCTTGTCTTGACCCTGGTAAGAATCCCACAATATGATCATTAAAAACAGATTAGTGATCACTAAAAACAGATTCCAAGCCTGTGGAATGAGAACTTGGGGGAAATTTTAGCAAGTTCCCAGGTGACTCCATTCATCAGATAAGGTCCAGGAAACACTGATCAAGAGCTTATACCTTAATCATCAGTTGATTTGACCAGAGCATAAATTAGGCATCCACTTTCCCACTTATAAAATGGAAAGGGTGGTAAATGTCTGTTGTTCTCCAAGAGTTGTATTATTCTAGATTCATTTCAATAAAGTGAAGAAAACTTGGTGGTACTGGAAATAATAGAAAAAAGATAAAGAGGACTTTCTATTTATTATTCATTCATGAATTATCCTCTTTGCATATTGTCTAAAAGCAAAGATTTAATTCCAGATCCATCTTTGTCTACTTCTCAGCCCCTCCCGCCCCATCATCATCATTCTGTAAGTACTCAGGGCACACTGATTTCTTTCACTGTTAGAATGAGGAAAACAGAAAGATAACACTATTCTGGAAATACCTAATGGCACGTTCCAGACCAAGCTCAACTGGCTTTGGGATCAGTTATTTAGGTTCCTAGTCTTCCTCCATTAGAATGATCAATTGAGAGTTGATAGTTTAAAAGAAAAATTAAACTGAATTTAGCTGATCCTCAACTTAAAAGGAGTGTTGCTTTGGTTTTGTTGATCTTCTGCTAGATAATAATAACACACCACAGCCCCAGCTACTGTTTCTTGAACATGCATTAAAAACGGATATTTCTTATGCTTCTTCTTCATGCCTGGCTCTGCACTAGAATTGCATTTAGGATCCACAACAATCCTGGGAGGAAGTTTCTGTTATTATTGAAGGGATGAGACAAGATGCCAAACTCATTTTACAAACTGTTCCTGGTCACAGAGTAAAGAATGGCAAGGCCAGGATTTCAACACAGTTTTATCTGACTTGAAAGTTTGTGCTTTTCCTACTATTACTTTTTAAAAATTGTTAAACATGTACTGGAGGGAAGAAAGATGAGTTCAAACAGAGTCATTCTAATTTCTTGGATGGGCAGGGCATTGGCTGGGTCTGAACTTAGTCGTTGGCTTTGCCAACCACTTGCCCCACCCGCGCCTGTTGTTTCTGCTCTACTCTCTCAACAATGCCTGTAGGTTCTGTGGGTTCCTGGCAGCTGATGGAGCAGAAAGGAACTTTGATCTCTCTGCCCTGGGGCTCCTTTTCCCAGGCATCAGGATGCCTTTGTAAATCTGGTTGTCTGGAAAGAAGCCCTTTCCTACCCTTACTGTAGGGCCAGGCTGGGCGGTTGCCCATGGGAGACAGCACTGTCAGCATTTGCCCTCTCTTCCCCTCCCTGAGGTCTCACTTTCCTGGAGGGCTTTGGTTGGGATTTTCCCCAGGTCCTGGTCTAGATGGAAGAGGAATAGCCTTGAATGTAGCTGTGACAACTTACTGAAGAACCCAGCCTGTCTTAGGCTGGCTGGTCCCATGGGCAGGGCCTTGTGACAGAACTGTTGGGATGAGAGCCAATCCTGTGGTACCACGCCACTCTCTGGCTTCCCATCACCTCCACTCTAGGTCAGAATGGTCAGTGATGACCAGAGGAGCAGGAGATGGGAGTGGTAGTGCTGGTATCCTTCAGTTTTACTAGTTATTAGCTGATGACTTGGAACACATCGCTTGTCTCTCTGAGCCTCAGTTTTTATGTCTGTAACATATAGAAACTAAATGATTTTTAAGACTAGGTGACCTTTAAGGCCCGTGTGAATATGACTTTCTGGACTTCAAAGCCTCTCTCAGAAGATCTGTTGCTGCTATGATAACAACATTAAAAATGAGAACTCACAGGCATTGAGCATGTGTGTGCCAGGCATTATGCCAGGACTTTCCATACAATAGCTCATGGAATCTTCGGAATAATACTATGCGCAAGTTCAAAAAGGAAGAGGAGAGGAGTTAAGTCTTGCTTAAAGTTCACATATCTAATTAGTACTAAGGCTGGGACTTGAATTCAGATCTACCTAATCCCAACATCCCTTTTCTTACCTGTGATTCTGGTCCTCCCTGTGCTGAGGGAGACTTCTTGAGCCTCTAGAATGACATCCTCCTGTGGCCTTCAAGGCCCTCAAGGAATAGCAAGGATAGTCTCTTCTCAGAACCAAGCAGTAGAGAAGATGGCCCAAGTTCTGAACACCCCTCTTACCTCAGTGAGGAGCAAACAGACCAGAAGAATAGGAAATCACTGATAGTTGTGACAGTCTTCAGTTTCTCTACTCTGGGTTCCCTTACTTCCTCACACTGTACTCCACTGGCTCCGGGAACAGTGCCCATGAATAAAACATTGTCTTCATGCCAAGGCCAAGTTTACTAGCAGTCTCTGCAGGCTAGGACTAGTCCGGGAAAACCAAATATTTAAAGATGAACTCACCTGGAGTATAAATCTTGGTTCCGAACTGCTGGGCACAGTTTTGACATGACATGCGAGTGCTCTCCATTCCCTGGTGATCTTCTTGAAGAGACGAGGATGCAAATTAAATAATTAAATCTGCATTTCTGCAGGAGTCTTTTTTGTTGTTGTTGGTTTTTTTGAATTGGAGTCTCACTTTGCCACCCAGACTAGAGTGCAGTGGCCACTCCCGGCCACTGCAGCCTTGATCTGCTGGGCTCCGGCGATCCTTCCGCCTCAGCCTTCCGAGTAACTGGAACTACAGGCACATGCTACCACGCCTGGCTAATTTTTTTGATTTATTGTAGAGATGAGGTCTCGCCAAGTTGCCTAGGCAGGTCTCGAACCTGCAGGCTAAGGCAATCCATTCACCTCAGCCTCCCAAAGCACAGGATTACAGGCTGAGCCACTGAGCCCGGCTGGAGTCTTGTTTTTTTTTTGAGTTGGAGTCTCACTCTGTCGCCCAGACCGGAGTGCAGTGGCCGCTCCCGGCCACCGCAGCCTCGACCCGCTGGGCTCTGACGGATCCTTCCGCCTCAGCCTTCCAAGTAGCCAGAATTACAGGCATGCGCTACCACGCCTGGCTGATTTTTTGAATTATTGTAGAGATGAGGTCTCGCTGCCCAGGCGGGTCTCAAACCCGCGGGCTCAGGCAATCCACTCACTTCAGCCTCCCAGAGGCGCAGGATTACAGGCTGAGCCACTGAGCCCGGCTTGGAGTCTTGTTTTTAATGAGCCTTATGGAGGGACGTACTTAGCAAGTGCTCTGCCCAAGCACTGACATTCTGAATTTTCCTCTCTGCCTCCCTCAGGCCTCTGTCTCCACTCCCAGAGAGCATGTTCACTTTCTAGGTATCTTGAGACCCCAGAGCAAGAACACAGAAGCACACAGAGGATAGGGACTTATGCTTATTGAATCCCCAACTGGGGCCAGGCATCTCCCTGGACAGTGTATTGGTAGATGTAATTTCACTTAATCCCTAAAGTCAGTGTTAACAGTCTACATTTTACAAGAGACACTGAAGTGTCGCCTGGAGGGGAAGGAGCTGTGATTTCAACTATTTGACCTCTTTCTACTGCTATGCCTCCATGCAGAACACAGGGCACCTGAGAGGGCTGGGGATATGAGTCAAGCCATCAAGGGCAAGTTGAGATTCGAGGTGGGTTTTGAAAGAGGCTGAGGATCTTCCAAATTTGGTGGTGAGCTCCACATGTAGCAGCAAATGGCTTGTGTTAAGGCAGAGGAGCAGGAGTAGGAAAGTACCTAGCACCTCAAGGAAAACATCTTCACTTGGACACATTTGATTTTTATGTTCCTTGCTTTGTTCACAGGCAAGGATGGGAGAAACATTTCTGATCTATCTGGAAAAGTCCACTTGAAGAAGTCCATTCTTAATGCTTGCTATGTGGGGGGGTATGCAATGGTTTCTTGTAAAAAAACAAAATCTAGTCTGGGTAAATATTTCTCCCTCTGGAAAAGCTTGGGAATTTTTCATTTCCTCAGAAGATGAGACCCACATGGCCTCTCATGCTTCCCATTTTGCTTGAATTCTGAGAATACTAAATTGTTGACAAATTACAAACCCATTTGTTTGGGTGACTGCCTAGTCTAGGAATTGGTTAGGATCTAACCTTTACTCTGATATCAAGCCTAGTTTGAGATCTCAGCTCTATCATTTTCTGGCTAGGCAACTTTGGACAAGTTATCTATCTTCCTTGTGCCTCAGTTTCCTTATCTGTAAAATTATATGATAATGGCACTAACATTATAGGGTTAATGTGAGGATTAAATTAGTAACACACGTAACATTTTAAAATGTAAAATCACAACCCTTGACTTTCCCTATGCTTCTTTCCTTCTTTATTGTTCCCCTTAGCACTTTACCCTGTATTTTATTTTACTTATTATTTGTCTCCTACCATTAGATGGTAAGTTACATGAAGGCAGGATTTCTTGTTTATTTATTTATTTATTTTATTGCTGGATCCTCAGAGCCTAGAATGATGGCTGGCATATCACAAGGTGCTCAATAAATAAGTATTGAATGAATGAATAATAATAAGGTGCCTAGCAATGCCTGGCACACAGTAAGTGCTCAGTAAATATTACTTTAAAGCTCTCTTTAAATAACACTTCATATTCAGTTTATCAGCAGATCATGTCCATTCTCCATTCAAAATATATTCTGAATTTGGCCAGTTCTCATTGACTCCACTGCCAGCTTCCCAGTCAGAGTTCCCCTCTCCTCTCATCTGAATGGCTGCAGGAATTACTTGATGGGATTCCTTGACTCCATTCTTGCTACCCTATAGTCATTGCTCTTTATTCTGTAGCTGCTATGATCCTCTTAAACTATAAGTCAGATCATGCCATTCCTCTGCTTAAAAATCCTCCAGTGCTTCCCCATCACACTCAGAATAAAGTTAAAGGCTCATCATAATCTAAAAGTCTCTCTGAACCTCACCTCCTACCCATTGGCCCTCATTCATGTTGGCTGTTACTCAGGCCCTCTCAAAGTTTTTGTGTTTGCTATCTTGCTGGAATGTTCTTTCACATAGATCACTCTGACACATTATGCAGGTGTCAGCTTAAATGTCACCTCCTCAGAGAGGTTTTTTCCCAACCACTGATCTGCAGGAGTCCCACATATTCCCCACCCAACTCTCAGACCCCTGTCCTGAACATTTAACATGAATTTTTTTAAACATTGCCTATCTCCCCCATAAGAATGTAAGTAAGCTCCACAATTTGCAGGGACTTTAGCTAGAAGAATACAGTTGGCCTAGTGGGTGTTGTTTCTGTCTCTGGGATGCTGAGGGAAGTGGGCTGGAGGCTACAGTGAGGATGCTCACACTGTTTCTTCCTGTGCCTGGCCAGGTCCTGCAGATCTGCCCCAAGGACATGAGAGCTGACATCTGCGTGCACCTGAACCGCAAGGTGTTCAAGGAGCACCCAGCCTTCCGGCTCGCCAGTGATGGCTGCCTTCGAGCACTGGCCATGGAATTCCAGACAGTGCACTGCGCCCCAGGGGACCTCATCTACCATGCAGGAGAGAGTGTCGATAGCCTCTGCTTTGTGGTCTCTGGCTCTCTGGAGGTGATCCAGGATGACGAGGTGGTGGCCATCCTAGGTAGGTGTTGCATTTATTGGACCAACAACTTCTGGTACCTGGGGTTGGCTTAGCTACTGGGCAGCTAAATGCCACTGCTAGCTTCAACCAGAGATTACTCACAGGGCAAGGCCTATTGCTAGCCCCCACTCATTTACCCAACAGACAAACATTTGAGTGCCTGTTTTGTGCCAGTCAGTGTTTGAGTCACATGGAGTATTTCAATGACAAAAATGGATTTTGTTCTCAAAGGGCACCCAGTCTACTGGAGAAGATGAACAAATGTAAGCAGACATTTGTGATACAGCGGAAGGCACATCTAATCCAGTATTCAAGTGGGAAGGCTTCCTGCACCTATTCTAAAACCTAAAAATTGAAAATGACTTAGTATGGAGAAGAGAAGTGATGAAAAATACTCTAAGAGGGGACAGCATGTATGAAAACCCTGCAGAGAGAGAAAGAGATGACTCAGTTGAGGAACTGCAAGTTATTTGATCTGACTGAAGCACACAGAACAAGAAGGGACATAGTGAGAGATGAGGCTGGGGAGAGGGCTAAGCACCAGGCAGATCATGGCAGGTTCTGGAAGCCACGTTAAAGGACTTCAATTTTATTTGGGAGAGTCAATATCAATGAAGAGTTGAAAGCAGAGGAGAAGCATGATCCGATTTGTACTTTAGAAAGATGATAGTAGTTGTAGCTTGAAGAGTGGATTGCAGGGGAGAGGTTAGGAGACCAGGTGGGAGACATATTATCTAGGGGCAAGTTGATGGTGGCCTGAACTAACACTGTGGCAGACAAATGGAGAGAAGCAGATGGAGCTGAGATATTTAAGAAGTAGAATCACCAGAGTCTGATGACAGATTTGCTGTGGGAAAAGAGGGATATAGGGTTTCTCATATGGATAACAGGGAAGCTGGTAGACAATCCACAGTAATAGGGAATGTGGGAGGAAGAGCAGGAACATGAGGGGAAATGCCAGTATTTGGAATGCTGAACATCAGTAGCTTTTGAGAAATTCATCTGACTGCCTGAGGTAGCTAGAGAACAGCTCCTTATGTCTTTCTAAAAGAGCAGGCTACCGTCATAATAATAGCCATCATTTATGGTCATCTACTCTGTGCTAAGCATTTGACATACAGATTCTCATTTAATCCTTATAGTAACCCTATGAAATGGCTTTAGTATCCCCATCTTGTAGGTGAGACAATTAAAGTTCAGAGAGGTTAAGGAGATTTCCTCGTTACTGATGAGGTCCATGGAACCTGCATCCTGGAGTTCCTCTGACTCCTAGATCTCTGCTGTCAACCATTTTGCAAAGCTGCAGTCCTAATAATAATTAATGTAATGTGCTGGCTCATTAAGATGCCAGGTACTGCTAGACATTGCACACGTGTTTTATCTTTTATATATGATTTCTTAAGAAACCTAGGCAGGGAGAGATGAAGTTACACTGAAGTTAAAATTGACATTCAAACTACATAGCAAAATAGATAGCATTATTATAACAAAACAAAACAAATCCAAACATTGTTCCTGCTTAACTTTGGAGTACACAATATGCAACTTCCTTCTTGCTCCCTGGCCCCAAGCCAACTGGCCCTCTTAATTACATTTTGCTCAGGTTAACCCAAGAATGATTTATATCCCTTCAGCATATGCTGGCAGATGGTTAGAAGGAAACTGGAGTAGAGATTGGGTGGGCAATGGAGGCTGAACCCGTTTGCTAAAATAACTATTCTAGATTCTGTGGTATCCATTGAACTCTACAGATCAGAGTTATGCTGTCCCCTGTCCCCATATCACAGAAAAGTGAGCTTGACTGTTCATAAGGAATAGGACAATTGAAGGTTAGAACCATTGCTTTAGGATATTTGAAGTGAAAGGGCATTGATCTCTGCCTTTAATACACATCAGTGTCCTTGATAAAGGTAATAGTTATCAAAATGTTTGCCTGGCTAAGAAGAGTAACTATCAACTAGTGAGCAATTCTTTTAATGTGAATTTGAATTAAAACTTTGATATAAGGAAACTTTCACCTATCTCCCCACTGATAACTCACCCTATGCTTTCCAAGGAATGGTGGCTAGCACCATCTCCCTCTTACCTACCCATACTCAGGAATCCTTAATGACCCACCCTAAACAGTTGCACTATTAGAAGTTGGTTTGAACACCTGCCATGGGGCATGGAGGTGTGACAGAGCTGAAGCGGGGGAGAAAAGCAAACAACTCTTTTCTAACCCCTTATTTCCTCCCAGCCAGGGCTTCTTGTGGAGAAGCAACCAGAGTTTGATTTGTTGTTGATTTCCTTGGCCAATTGACTGCTTCTCTAAATCCATCCCTCTGCCTCCAGCCCTCCTGGGCATCCTGCCTGCTCCAGTTAACAATGTGGACAGGATCTTTGAAATAGCTCAGTAGCTTTGGATTCAAAGTAGTTGTTTCCCTCAAGCTGTCCAGACTAGCAAAAGCTTCTCGATTTGTCCTGAGGAGCCAGATTGGGTCTGAAAAGAAAGTCCAAGCTCAATATCCTAAATAACTTGTCACATTTCAAGAGGCTCTTATTCTACAAAAGAATGAGACAAGTCCTTTGAGTCAACCTGAGCTCTGGGCCAAGAGGCATACGAGATTCCAAGCTGTTTGCTCCCTGGAAATGTAACTTTAGAGTTCTGTGGTTGTTGCTTTTCTCTAATTAGCCTACCTTTTGGTCAATGAACCAAAAGCAGTTAGTTCTTGCAAAGGAGTTCAAGCATCAAATGGGTATTACAGCTAGATCTTTATTGCCCATTGATACCCTTCAGTTCAATCTGACCAAAATTTATTGAACACCTACTATCTGTCAGGAACTGTCATGGGGGTGGGTATATAGAGTAGACCAAACATTAGGCCACTCTCCAAGGAATTGCTACATAATAGAGGGGACTGACACTAGAAAGACAGCCATCACTTTGCATGATGAGCCTTGCAATAGAGAGAATGCAGACATTCTAGAGGTTTATTGGAGGAGCAATTATTGAACAGCTACTGTATATCCAGTGCTCCAAAGAGGATGAAAAATATCCAAGAAATCCTTAATTATCACAAGCAGGAGACTTTAGGAAAAAGGCCAGAGCTCATCCATCTCATTATTTTGCTTTCTGGTCTCTTGTTATCAGTTCACTCATTTACATGCTGCTAATTAGCCTCCCCTTTCCAGTTCTAATATTCCACCAGCATTTTCTGTTTAATTTTAGCACACACTCCAATAATGAAGAGAAGAGTCAGTACTCATAACAGAGTATGTTTAGTATGTATTAAAAATAAAGCCCTTCCTAATGAAAGTCTTTCAAGGAAGACTGTTTTTCAAACTTTTGTGACTGCAACCCACTGTATGAAATGTATATTGCGCTGCAAATAAATACACACACAAGTGCACACACAATTAGACATAAAATTCAGTACTTTGCTTGCTACATGAAATGTAACCTGGTATTTCCTATTAAATTCTATTCTCTTTCATTTAAAAAAAATTGACTGTCATGATCCCCTCAATAGCTTTCTTGACCTGATCACAGCCTGAAGTTTAAAACATGGTCCCAGAAACCTAAATGATATTCCCTGAGGACAGAGGGCATGCCAGAAATCTTTTGCTCTCCTTTCCCTCTGCTGTTTTCTCTACCCTCATTTTGCCAGGACAAGCTCCCAATCTCCTTTTGGGATACTTTTAGAAATTGCCTAATGGTTTCTCAGATTTAGTTTCTTGGCTTTTGGAATGAATTCAAGGTGTTAGCATGTGCATTCGGATTTTTTCTTTTTTACTGAAACAAATTTTTTTTGCATTGTAGTCTCACTCTGTCAACCAGGCTGGAGTGCATCGGCACAATCATGGCTACACAGTCTCAATCTGCTAGGCTCGGGCAACTTTTCTGCTTCAGTCTTCCAAGTAGCTGAGACTTCAGGTGTGTACCACCACACCTGGATAATTTTTTGATTCATTGTAGAGACGAGGTCTCACTGTATTGCCCAGGTTGATCTCAAACTCCTGGGCTCAGGCAATCCTCTCACCTCATCTTCCCAAAGTTCTGGGATTATAGGCATGAGTCACCACACCCAGCTGCATTAGATTTTTGAGACTAATTTTCTTCTAGTTTTTATAGGTATCAAAATAAAAATACATAGGTACCACTTTGCCCCTGCCCAAGTGGAACTATTAGCATCTGGATGTAAGTTGTTCTCCTGGTATTCTGTGTTACTGTGTGACTCACAGCGTCAATGAGTCATGAATTAGCATGAGGACTGTACTTGGGTGTGTTAAGTATCTTCCTGTGTCTCTATAAGTGCAGTATTTATATGATCTTGTTTCACTGTGATTTAGTGTCTCTGTAGTAACTATTATGGGTGTTAAACTTTAACATTTAATTTCTATTATAATTATGTATAATTTTGTGTCTTTTCTTTTTGTTTTTGTTATTTTTCATTTTGTTGGGCAAAACAGAAGTCTTTTGGCCAAACTGCATCTAGTACTAGAAAGAGGGCTGGAGATTTAACGGTAGCCCCTGGATCTGCACCACCTCCTTACAGGAGTTGCCACTAACTGATTAGGAGTCTCCAAAGGCCTCCTATGTTTCCACTAAACCCGTCACACTGCATCAATTGCATGTTTACTCACCTCCCTCTCCTGTGAGCCCCAGACTCTTTGGATTCATATCTCCACATGGCATCTAGCACATGGTCTAGCATATGGAAGGCACCAGCTATTTACTGAATGGGATGGGTTAGAAAGGAAGGCAGAGGCTCGACTGTGAAGAGTCATACAGTTCAAAGTAAGACTTTACCCTGTGAGGTTGCGAGGCCCAGAGAGAGTTTTAGAAAGGGGAGAGGCAAGATGATTTATCGAGGAATGGAGACTAGAAAGGAAGCTCAAGAGAAAGGCTGATATACTAAGGTAGTAGAAGGACAGCCAGAGTCCAGAAATATCAGGGGAAGGAGAACCTTCCAGAATGTGGGAGAATAGTTTCTGTTGGCAATAAAGGGGGAGGGAGG